TAAAGATATGTGCATTTGATGATTTGGAGGCTTCCAGAAATCTTAAGTCCCGTGTCAGGTTTCTTTTTGGGTTTTTTTGGTTACAAGCGACTGTCAGGCCCACAACACAATATGTAAACAACTGTAGATAACTGCAATCAATATTTCATGCGTCTCACTTTGTTATTCTACAGCCTGGCGAGATATTGTCAGTCATATCATTGCTCCCTCTAATGCGAGGAAACAATCTGGTGTCATCAAATACTATTACAGCAGATAATCTTCCTCAGAAGTGTTTAGAATTAAAATTTCATTGTTTGCTAGAAGATTTTGACACCCACACCCGAGACGTTTCCTCCAATATTTAAGGGCATGTCAGAAGCCTGGCTGTGCACCAGTTCCCAAATCTCTCAGCAAATTGTGCTTTGAGGGATTAACGACGTTTACTGTCACATTTGAGCCCGAGTTTGAGATGCAGGATTACATTTGGATAAAAAAAAACAAGCAGCTACAGTGTAACTGCATTTATCTCTCAATTTCTAGGGAAAATTCCACCTTCTGCGCCACCCGGACAACTCCACGTCACATCAAAGCTGACACACTTAAGCTTCCCAGATAACTTTCTAAAGACTTGTCAATAAATCGTGTCACTGCAGTCATGGCACATCTTGCACAAATGTTATTTCCCCTGCACGCTTCTTGAATGTTTGAACCTAAGAGAATATATGACCCAATTTCACTGCTGTGGAATCAATCTTGTCACTCTTGCCACCTAGAGGATACCAACCACAGCGACAGAGACGAGTAACCGGCTAAGATCCTAATTTAAGCTTGGAAAATCACGAAAAGGTCCTTGAGCCAACTACGCTTTTACCTTTTGCGTTAGACGTGTGTCTACATTTGGTCCTGCATTACATACAGGCCCTCACTGCAAAGACGTTTCGGGGAAAGGCCACAGCGATCCCTAAAGGGAGGCCGTAATTATGCCAGATGGGGCGTTCTGACTTTCAGCCTCGGGTAAGTCTTCTCGTGCCCGTGGTGAGACTTGTTGTCAGTATTGGCAAAGGAACAGTGCCACACTCACCATTCATACTCTGCCATCTGTGTGTTGGAGTGTGGAGGCTGTGAGAAACTTCTGCTGGGCTAGCGGAGCGGACGGAGGCATGCCTTTGTGTTGGACTGATGAGCGGACGTACAAGTGGAATCAGAGGCAACCAAATACACCTCAGCATTGGGAAAAAGAAGGACAAAAAATTTTGAATCTGAGAGGATCATAACCAAACTAAACAGACTGAGCCTCCTCTGGGATACAAACAGTGTTTTTAAGTGAAGCATGATGTGAAAACAGATGGAATTAATTTTGTGCAATTGCTAGAATCATTGTGTTCGTACATCTAATTACTGCAAATTAGACCAGGCTTGCTGTTGTGTTTCAGAATGATGACAGTTGACATGTTTTACATTTATAGATTTTAGTAATCATGAAGCACTAATGTTTTTCCAAAGAGCTGAAACGAAGTGGACAAACTCACAAGTAGTTTTGCTCATGTGAGCATAATTTCTTTTAAGGTAAAGTCATAACAAATTATTCATGCTTTGTTCATTTGAGGCCGCTCGTTTCTCGCTCGTGCGTCTTTGCCAGATGGCTGTAAGAGTGATGAGTAGTGTGTTTTATATTCCAGTTAATGCCAATTTTTGTAAAGACGATACTTTGGAGAGCAGCATTGAGAGCAGAATCAAAGCAGCCTTTCTCACATATTTTAAGGCACGCTGCACAGTCGATGACCACCACATCAAGGCTACTACATTCACTTTACTATTTACTCATGTTCAGCACATAGCTCCAGGTGTGTGAAAGGCAGTTAGGAGGCTCAGTGGCACGTACACAATCCCCACAGCACTCTGTATCTGCCATGAGGGGAAGCTGATCACATGGTGTCTTTGAGACGATATAAGGATTAGTTTTAAATATCTTAAGTCTGCCGTGTACTCGTTTTTTCACACTGCTTTGCAACAGGGAAGTGTGCTAGTTCCACACCGTGTGATGAATAATGCACAGGCTGCGTGGGATCCACACAGTATTCAGTAAACTTTTGCTTTTGTTCCTTTTAATTAAGTGAAATGGTGCCTTACACAAAATGAGATATATCGTTTGAATCTAAGTAAAGCTTCAATAGAATCAGTGAACTTGTTCATTGCTGTGCGTACAGTACGTGTTACACACTCAGAAAAATCTCTGATGATCAGAGTCATCAGGCGTCCAGTGATTTCACTGACGTAGTGTATTCAGAGTGAATGGCAGCTTGAAGTGGCAGTTGAAGCCATTCAAATGCTAATGGATCAGTGAGATAGGAGCAGTTACAGTGTATCTATCCAAGCAGGCACATTTTACCGGCCTGTGGCTTTTTCTATGATATTGTAATTCTGGTTATTTTCAGCCTGTGCCTTTTGTATGGGCTGTTTGATGTTTTATTGTGCAGCTTTACCTTTCTGTGTTTTGCCAGTGGTGTTGCTTTATAGTTGATCCCTTCATGCCCAGCACAAAGGGATAAAATATATATAACCTCTGTATAACCCCAAAACAGCCGAAACACAATAGGCCCTGTGAAATTATTCGACTACCTGAACTTTGAATGTAGCCTCTGATAAAAATGATTTCATCACAGATGTACTTCTTTCATGAGATAGCTTATCATTTATAAAATGTTTTATCTAAACAAATGTAAAGCCTGGTTTAAATAAAGTAATTAGATTATATCAGTAAAAGAACAGTTGATTGTTTTGCAAGATACGTAAGCTATCCTTTAATTAAAATACATCAGCTCTTCATCAATATTTTTAGCAGCGTTGGCTAAGGCAGCTTCGTATTAGACGGCACAGTCAGTGCACTGTAAACCTGTAAAACCATGTAAACAGTTATTCTCTTTATGAACACAGTCGTTCCTTCTCCTGCAAACGTTCTCAGCCAGCACAGTTCACATGTATAAAGACGTCCTGCTAATGAAACCACAGCACCTTTATCATATGAGTAGAGTTTCTTGCAGTGGTTGTTTCAGACCTGTTGGTCCTGTCAGGACCTCGATGGGGTTTTGACATCTTCTCTCAGCGCAGTAACACCCGGCGTCCTGGCCTTTCTGTATTTTGGTGGAATGGAAACTTCTGCAGCGCTTTGTGGGAGGACGAGGTTCAACAGCCCCAGACTGCACTCAGTTCTTCCGTGGCATTAAGCTTTATTAAATGCAGTCACGTGTTTACACATGAAAACCACCTGTGAAAAATTAGATGTCTTTCAGAATCTACACTACTGCTGCACTGCATCAGTTTTCAGCTTTCGTCCTTATCTGGAGTCGAGTGCTTGGACTTTCATTGAGTGTCGAGTCTGATCGGCACTCAGTGTGTTTTGTGCTAAAACTTCACTTGGCAGTTTTCAATGAATGCGTTTGTGGTGCAGCAAAATACTGCTTCACTGACTCTTGCACTCTTCTGGTGTGTCGAATCCTGAAAATACGATTAATGTCAAACGCACGTCCTTTAAGCACGTAAAAGCAGCATCGTACATTTTAGATGTTTTGTTTTCTTTGGATTCATAATGCAGCTGTTTATTTATTATCCCAGAAGTCTTATACCACCATGAGCCTGGGAGGAGGTCCAAAGGTCACTGAGCATTCACCATTTTAATACTTCTGTATTTGCTCGCTCTAAAAATTGTTTGCCCCCAAATAAAAATTCAGTCATTTTAAGTTCTGCTGCCTGTCAGTCAAACTCTTCTGAGGCTTTATGAAAAGCAAAGACAGAGAAAGCTCACCGCTGTGGGACCATAGCAGCCATTTCTGAGGACGTCATCCTGAGATAATGTCAGTAAAATTATTCTGTGCTCACCGAAGTCGAGTTTAACATTGAGATGTTTTATTATGACCTCATTAAAATCAATTAAACCATTGAAGATTTACAGGTTCAGCATGTGCATGTGTTGCATATGTTACTGACAATAATAATGTCATATTCAAAGATCAACTGCTTTTTTTGGTGATATTTATATCCTCTGTTTGAAATCAGCGTTGTGAAATTGGTCACTGAGCTAGTAAGAAAAACCATCCATCCATCTTCATCCGCTTTATCCGAGGCCGGGTCGCGGGGGCAGCAGCCTAAGCAGAGAGGCCCAGACCTCCCTCTCCCCAGTAAGAAAAACCAACTCCTGGTAACTTGTCAAGATCTTAACAATAACAAAATTACAACAAAACCCCCCAAATACCATCATTTAGAAAGTAATGATAACTCGAGCTCCGACTGTCATTGTGTTCCCATGATGCTACTGAATGTGAATACAACCTGTCAAGAAATGAATTGGTCTGCAGCAGCATGTCTTGAAATGGTTAGCACAGGAAAGCCGGAGCACAATCAATACAGTCCTTTATCTTTGGGGCTGTAAGTTGACATTAATTAATGTTCAGCAGTGACATATCAGTCTTTGCCCTATTAAAGCTTTGTTTCGAGGGTTATTCTTCCCACTGTGCCATTTATTCACTTTTATTCTGCTGAATGTTCATCACGCCATAATTAGCCATTTTTCTCCCATCCAGAGCATCATAACCCATCACAACATGACAGCGTTAGCTTCCTGAGCACCGTTACCAGCCCGTTTGTCACTTGACGAGTTAACAATACAAAGTTTGTCAATGTGTTTTGCTTCTGCGTGTTCGTCTGATCATTTATATCGGACTTATGAAACATGCAGTTTAATGTTATTTAAATGCTGATGTCTTCAGTCTCCTCCGGCCCATGTTGTTTGACATTTAATAATCAACACAGTGACATTTGTTTCAGCTCGTTCCTTCCTGCAGAGATACCGTAGCTAACATTTACATTGGAGCGTCTGTAATTTCTGTCATTTACATTCATTGAGTGAATGATCGAAGCAAACTTGTGATGGGCAGCTTGAATAATCAAAGAAGTAAGTTCCTATTCCACCTACTCATTTATAGCCTTTCTTCTCTGCTCCTTTCTTCCTTTCCCCCCTGCAGAGCTGCTGTCAGCCTGCCACGAGCTCCGGTGCCGCTATGGCTGCGTCATGACTAGAAACGGCACCTTCTGTTTCTGTGCTGACGGCTTTGAGGTTGGGGAGGACGGGACGAGCTGCAGAGGTAGGATCCTGCACCGCTGGTGGGGGCCTCCTGCCAGGAACGCTTCCCCCTTTTCTTCCCTCCTCTTTGTACAAGTCTCTCCTTTTGCCCTCGGCCAGACTTCTTTCAGTCGAATAAGCAGGAGCTGCTGCCTATATGAGAACCATCTGGGCCTCGTGCACAGCACATCACAGCACAGACACACATATATCCTTACACATGTATACAAATTCTTCGTGCTTTTTTATGTTCTTCATGGTGTGAGGCACAGGACATGATTTTGCTACAGTTGCACTGAATTATTTGAATTCTGCACATAACTTGTGCGTAGAATTGCATAATTATGGAAAGGAAAAGTTTCACGAAGTGGGAGTGCTGCTGGAGTTTGATTCTGCTGGGGAAGGCATGAGAAAGAGCCGTTCCAGCGCAGCGCATTGCTTATAAAAGTAATTATACCTGAGGTGCCAGAGTGAGGCCACATTAAGTATACTTTATGTATTTGGGTCATGTTTGAGCACCTAATTTGTTACAAATGACTCTCTTCCTGTTTTCCATAAGATCATGATGAATGTGCCATGTATGGAGCATGCAGCCAAACCTGCACCAACACCTACGGGTCATACAGATGCAGCTGCACAGAAGGGTACATCCTGCAGCCCAACAGGATATCGTGCAAAGCCAAACAAGGTGAGTGGCACACTTGCATCATAATTAGCACAGTGTACGCGTTCTGTCTCGTTCAGACGTGGAATCCCGGCTTATCTTCTCCTCGGTTTTCACAAGAACTGGTAGCGCAAGATTAATGGGACTGAGCGATGACCACATCCATCACCACACGGGGACGGCTGGATGTGGTCAACCCAGGATAATGATCAAATTAATGAGCATGAGATTTTAAGTGGGCGCAGTCTGGAGTATTTTGTGCAGAGACAATACCTGACATCACCATGATTTATGTTAATGCCCGATGCTGCTAACAAATCTGCCCCAGTGAGGAAAGCAGCCTACTTATTGTAGAAATCAGACAAATCAAAGAGTTGTTGTGTTGTGGTGAGTGCGGTGTGTAAATAGTCCTGAGATTGTGTAGTTTACACGTCCGTGTCCTGCACTGACGTAAAGTTAGTTTTTTAGGGTTGTTGCCACTTTGGCGTATATGGGTTGAAAATAGCTGGAGGCCCAACACGTCTTGTTGGGGAGAACACCGCTGGTGCAGCTTTTAATCACGGTGACTGGTGTCCTACCAAGAATAAACTGAATATGATTACCCATAAACTTAACTGAACCCAATGCTCACATGCATTAATATTAATTTAGCAGAGAGCAATAGTGGTACAAGGATAACTATGGGGTTACCATTAGTTGTAAAAGCTCATGAATATAAATTCCTGATAGAGCTCTCAGAGGTCAGGAGATGAGGAGCAGCAGGGTATGAAAAACATATTAACGCAGCGAGTGTAAGTTGGAACTCTGAAGCGCACATTTTTCTTTTTAGGGATTTAATCTGGGTTTAATCTCTGCTTTGACTCTGACTTCAGTGAGTTTTACTTTCTCCTAGCACAAATGTGACGACGCCCGTATGCTCTTCATTTCTACTCGATTACAAATGTTTGAAGTGCAAATGTAATGTTGAAAACATTTTTATCTAATATGTGCAAAATACAATTATCAATACTTTCTGTAGTTGATAGTTGAACCTGTTAAAGACATTTAGTGTCACGTGGTTGTGTAGAGTCAGATGTAACCCCGGTGTATCGGATATGTTTGGTTGTTTAACCTCAATGTTGTGTGAACATGAGCTGTGATTGGTCACTGCGGCCTGTGTCATACCTCGTCATTAAGTTAAAGAAAACATTACGAACCACAGGGTGCCTGGTGTCACAGTGCTGTGTGTGTGTTTTAGTTACATTCTCTCATTATTGTTATTCGTGAGTTTTGGTTCTGCTTGTGTTACATTTTTAGTCCTAGGATTTTGGTTTCTGTTACTTTTCCTTTCTGGTGTTCCTCGTTTCGTCTCCTTGTTCCCTTCATCTTCCCACTCAGTCGTGTCTCTGTCTCAGTGTCTGCATCTTTGTGATTGTCTCGTGTTTCCTGTTTTACTTTGAAAGTCTGTGTCCTATGTCAGTGCATCTAGTTTTGCTTCCTCTTGTCTCATTATGTCTGATTAGTCCCAGCTGTGTTTCCTTCCTGTTTCCCATTCCCTCATTACTTCCTTGTATATTTAAGCCCTGTGTTTTCCTTCCCCCTTTGTCGTGTCGTACCACTTCCATGTGCTGTGTGTTTCCTCTGTGGTCCTTGTTATCCTTGCACCCAGTTTCTAGTTTCCTAGTGTCTTTGTTCTCGTCCTTAGTTTCTAGTTTTCTGATTTTGTCTCTAGTATGTTTTTGTTACGGCGTAATAAAGCTGCCTGTTTGAGTTCATCCTTTGGTGTCTGTGAGTATTTGGCTCCTACATCCTGTAACCTGACACCTAGTTTATGTCGAAATGTAGTTTGTTGTTGTTTTGGTTTATGAGCTTCAGTTGTTTGCGTGCGTTGTATATGAGTGCAGACTTGTATATAGTTAAACATGTATGGATTATATAATGTTGAATTCTGAATATTGATTTGTAAATAATGGAATTTGAAATAAGTGGGCAGAACAGACAAAGTGTAAACTTCATCCTGCTGCTTTTCCAGCATAAAACTTTTCTTTTCTCTTGTTGTTTCATGTTTGAAATAAAATGATTCTAATTCCTTATAATAACTTTGATATTTATCTTTTCCCATGATACATGTTTGTAGCCTCGCATGGTCAAAATCCCATCTACCCCCCAGTGTGGGAGAAAAACGCTTGTCCCTGCGTCACGCACTAGCAGTTATTTAAGTGGACATTCTGATTTATTACCTATATTAGGAGGGCAGCCCTTGACTTGAACTTGTGCTGAAGATTGGGATAAATAAGGGCCCTTTCAGGGGGTGAACCTGATGTCAGAGACTGTGCACGCTCAATTAAGCCCATAAAGAGGCTTATTTCAGTTTCACCACCACAGATATCGTTCCACGAGTCCAGGCGGGAGTGTGTGCTGGTGAAAACTCACATGTCATATCTGCGTTAATGCCGATGCTTTTCTGTTATTTGAGCTTCAAGAAATCTGTTCTGAAAGTATTTCCAGCTGCGCTGCTGTTTGTTTGTCCAGTGGTGGAATTAGAAATATTGTGCATGTTTGTCTTGGTTGGGTTAACACTGAACAGTTAGACAGTAAACTTTCCAATGGTCTTTCCGCTCATATATTTTGCATATCACACTGTTTTTAAGGGAAACTTTACTGAGCTAGCAGAATAGCTTTGCTGAGTCATCCCACGATAAGATTTATGTATGTTTATTTCAGATCCTGGCGACAGCCGGCCAGCGCTTCTCATCGGTGGCTCAGATCGCATCGTCGTCACCCATCTAAATGGGAGCGGCCTTCAGCCGCTCAGGTCCTTGAGGATAAATGGGACGCTGGCTCTGGATTTCCAGCAGAACCAGGAAAGTGTGTGCTGGGTGCTGTCTTCAGAGTCCTCTGGGCAGCTCCGCTGTGCTGTAACAAGGAGCCTGCGTGGATTCACACGGGAACAGGAAATACGAACTCAACAAAGTTTGCAGCGTATGTTTATATCAGTTCATTCTTTCCTTCTTTTGTTGTCATTTTTCTGATAAATAGCCATCTAACCACACGAATAAAAGGTATCCCTGCCTGTGGCGAGCATCATCCGGGGCTCACGCACACACAGGCTCACGCTTCTTTGTTTTCTCATTGTATTTTGCTCTCTCCCTCTCTCTCTTACCTGCGAGGTCTCTCGCTCTATCTCCTCATTATCACCGAGGCTTGCGACAGGTTAGCCTCAGCAGTTTTGGAATTCATCTTTATCCTGCAATCGCCATTCAGGCCTGCGAGCTGCACTCGCTGTGCTGCTTCAGAAGTGCTACCTTTTTCTGCTCTAGTAAAGATTCCCATGAATTATAGCCCATTTCATAACAAATGTGCTCGACTTTCATTTGTTAAAGTCTAATAGAAACCTGCAAGCTAATCAGAATTATTAATGGCCATGGTATCATTTAAAAGGGCACTGGAACAACTGCACAAATAAAGATTTAGTTTATTCATCATGAGTAGCAGAGTTTGCCTTTGCCGTCAGGAAACTGTTCACAGTATCTTAACAACAACATTGTTGTCAGTTTGATCTCAGCTCGGACGTGGAGAAAACTACTTTAACACAAATACTGCAGGATTGCTGCAGTAATATTTTTGCAGGTTCATTGGACATGAGTGGCGACAGACCTTCTGCAAGGAAAAGTCATCCCCCTCTAAATGTATCCTTGCAAACAAAGCTTCATAACTTCAGATACTTTACAAACGTGCAAAGAAAGAACTGCTTCGAGATTAAAGCATCAAACTCTCAGTAAAGCCCCATAAACCTCATCAGCTCAGATCTGTGACTAAAGACTATAAGTCGAGATAACCAGGCCACCCGCTGCTTCTGTTTCATCATTATTTTTGTCTCTTTGGTTGCCACGGAAACCTTATTTTATTTACATAGCATCTGTTTTACACGAGGATCTAACGCGTCTTCTTCTTTCCCGCTGCAGATGTGGAGCAGATGGCGATTGACTGGCTGACAGGAAACTTTTATTTTGTCGACCGCGTCACTGACAAGATCTTTGTCTGTGACCGCGGCGGTGACACGTGCGTTACCGTCCTACAGCTGGACCTGCTCAATCCTAAAGGCATAGCTCTGGATCCTCTCATGGGGTGAGTGCATACCTTCTCAGAAAGCCACCACGCAGGTCTCATTTATCACCGTGTGTCATTTTTCAGAGGAAAAAAATATCAGAGAAAGGACAAAAAATTACATTTCACTGCTGATAACAAGAGATTTATCAGGAGGAGTATAAGAGGGTTACAATAAAGGGATTTAAATGATTTCCTGTCCTTCAGCTGAGCCATTTTCTCTGTGTGTAATTTGGTGAATAACTGGTGATGCTACATATATCTTCTACTGTCTAGACATTCATTTGTATTCACTGATTTCGCTGCACATCCACAGAAGAACATGCCCCAACAGGACTTTCATTACAGGATTTTTGTCTCTGAAGATCAACGAAAAAGCGCAGCACCAGTGGGAGAAAACATATTCCCACACTGCTCTCAGTGGAAACTGTAACATTTAGAGCATGCGGCTGACAGTCTCAGTGATCACAATGTTGGAGAATTTATTATTCCTGTGTCACCGTGCAGAACAAACACACACTGCATGGCCCAGCTGTACCAGCCGGTGAACCAATTATCAGCAACTCTTTTTGCAACCCGGTCTCGCCATGAAACAGCAAAGCTCCAGTATTTGTGACAAGTCAAAGCAAATTTTTCGTTGTATACCCTTTCTCGGTTTTTTCAGCTGTTTTTGGCTGTTTGGCAGTAGAAACAATCGTCTGCGATCACGTTAAACTGTCACGACAGACCTCGTAAGACCGAGACAAAATGAACCTTTGACCTAAACGTGTAATTCATTCACTCTGTTGTCACGTTGGGGATTTCTGCTTTATAATCCACGCTTATCCAGCGCCTCTGTTTACGACCGTAAACCTCTGGGTCTAATCAAAATAATTAGCTGGTGTTTTTTTAAAGGCAGGGACAGTCGGCTGGCTGCAGCTCTTTGTTCTCGTTTGTGTTACAGTGAATACACTGCACTCCCTGTGATGTGCTGTAAGTCAGGCTGTCTCTTAAGTGGTTGTGCTGTAATCACACATGACTCCCATACACATATGAACCTTATTCTGTAGATATAGATGGATAGTGGTCTCGAGTCTGCTGCCCCACAAGGGAGCTGGTTTTGCAGGCTGCTGGATAGATGGACTCTCGGAGACACAGAAGTATTCGGAGCCTTATTCCTGACTCTAATTGGTGAGAAATAGGTACAGCCTGAGAGAGGTCTGTCAGCCCAGAGCAATGGAGTGAAAACAAAAGAAATCAGGGAGGTGTTAGATAGCAGCGCAGCGTGAGGAGCAGTGTTTATAGAATATGCCCTGGTTTGGCACTCCGTCCCTCTGCATCCTTGCCTCTCTTGCTATTGGATAAGCATTTTAACTTGATGGACAGCCTTTTCTTCTTCTCTCTAAAAAGCTTTTCTGAGAAGAGTTTGATGGATGGTATGGTTTGTTTTTCAGCTAAAATTTTTATCAGCACTACAAAATTGAAGCGTCCTCTCCCACGAGTCCTATTTTAGTGTAGGGTGTATACCCGTGATGACGAACCGCTGCTGGCAAGTTTCCTCCCGAGCTTTGATATTATAAAATAATTAAAATCCTGCTGTTGCATCACAGCGTCAGCCCCGTCCATGGAAGTAAAGTCTACATGTATACATGCTAATAATTTGTTTGGAGGGGAACAAAATTGTTGCCTGGAATCTGATTACTGACATTTTTATATTTTTGGGACTGTTTCAGTTTTGCAGGTCTCAAACTTGGAAATAAAACGATGCACTGATGGCACAAAAGATCACCAAGGTTATTATGCTGATTTATCCTGTAAAAATATTTCATTTATTATCTCTAAAGTCACGACTGGAACCCTGCTGATGGCGTTACAGGAAGTCAGGAATCATCAAAGGTCAACAGGATCTATTTCTGGCAAATGTTTGTGCAAGATTTGTCGTAGAAAAACAATGTTAAAGCCTTTAAGCTGTTGCCAGAGTCAAACACTGCAACACTACTTTTTTTGTATTTATTCTAAATTTATTTTTTACAGAATTATGTTCAGGAGCCTTATTTTAAATTAAGCCTCCGTGATTTTACACTCCTTTAAATGCAAGAGGATCTGAAAGAAACCAGCCGTGTCCTGATGCTGCTGTAGTTTTGGCCGATACGCTGCTCATTGATTCTCCAGCTGTGAGGCTCCTGCCTTTATTCGCTGGCCTCCGTGCTTTTTACTTTTTCACACGTGCTCATTCCCAGAATCCAACAAGGATCTCATCATAGCTGCAGAATGCACAAATACAGCATCGGCTCCGTCCTAATCCTAGAAAGCAGTCATTGATATGCCACGTGGAGGTGCACCTGTTTGGGGAGCTCGGTTCCTTGCTGATGCCGGCAGTTTTTCAGCACAGCTTGGTCGAGGGTTCAAAGGGCAGCCCATCTCTCCTCTGGTTTGACTTGTGCAGATTAAGTCGGCTTCCCGTCGTTCTCTGGCTGGAGCTGGTTATCACTGGAAGCTGTTAGAGATCCATCCTCACAGAGTCCCAGCGAGGCAGCGGGGCAAGCCTTCCATATAAATGACTGAATGTGCATAAATGAGCAGTTTTAAAAACTTTCAGAGATTGTTACTTTTGCTGAAGAGCATTCCAGTTATTTCTGGTGATGTAATTTAGTACCTGTAGTAAGAATCAAATGACACTGTGTATAACACCTGTCCTCCCGTAGTTACTCTGGCTCCCTGTGTCTTTTTAGATTGGTTTTGAAGGTGGCTTCTCACTGCATCACACATTGTCATTTTGTGTCTGCTCACATACCCCGAGGTCTGCTGCAGCATGCTTTCTAAATGTCGCCAAAATTACCCAAAGAGAAATGGAAAATGCTGCTTTTATTGCATTTGCCTCAAGGTTATGGGCTTGTATCAGAGAAGCAGTCTAACAAGTCATTTTTACAAGGCCTTCAAAGGCAGCGTTGCTGTTTTTTTAATTTTTTTTTCTTGTAATTAAAATTAATTCTGTGCTGATTTAATGCATTCATGTGTTTTAACCTATTTGTTACCATTTTTTCTGTATTTTTATTTGATCAGACGTTTGAAGTTGTACTATTACATGAAACTTGATTATATATTTGCATGGGTTGGTGAATGTATTAATTTTGTACTTTATGTCCTTCCACAACATCTCTGTTGGATTAAGATCAGAACTTTGACTTGAATCTTCCCAAAAAGTCACATTTTATGCTTGAATATTGTTTGCTTGAATGGATTTTCTGTTTGGCTTTCCTGCAAAACCCCGTCTGAGGGATTCAGTTATTGGATGAAATATGTTCGTATTTCTGTTTCCAAACTCTTGTAGTTCACAACCTTTTTCATCAACAACTCTTGAGAAATCTCCAGAGCCCCTAATGTTGCCCAAGGACCTCAACTGGTTAGTTGCAATAGTAGTAACACTCAACAAGAGTGCGCGGTCGATGTTCGAGGGGGTCAATACAAAACTGCTGACAACTGCTTGAATGAACATTGGATTAGACTAAGATTGTTGGCTGTAAGGATAAAGTATCACTCTGTCATATTGGGATAAATCCAACCAAACTACTAAAATGATGCATGGTGAGGTTTTTTCCGGTCACATTGTGACTATGATGGTATCCCTTACCTCGTTTAATGATTTAACCCCCCCTCCCTTGCAGAATGCTCTTCTTCACTGACTATGGGAACGTGGCCAAGGTCGAGCGCTGTAACATGGACGGCACCAACCGGACCCGGCTGGTCGATTATAAAATCGAGCAACCCACTGCTGTGGCGCTGGATGTGGTCAAGAAGCTGGTGTATTGGGCCGATGCCTACCTGGATTACATCGACGTGGTGGATTACCAGGGCAAGAACAGGCACACCATTATCCACGGCAGCCAAGTGAGTGCCACTTTGCACAGATGTTTGCCTTCCACGGACCGCACGTTGTGGACTAACGTCAGGCTTTTCTTATCAGGAGTGTCTGTTCTGATTTGGATCCACTTACAGGGTGTTCTTTGGTTAATGTTCCGATTCAGGGCACTGTGCTTTATCACTGTAAGGCAGGTGGTGTATTCACTGCTTGTTGTTTTAATTCACTCTTCATTTCGGACAAAAGGGGCTTTTGTGTGGCGAATAAATGGTTTATTAAATTGAAGAAATTGAGTCACACGTGGGGCTGCCTTCCAAATGAGCGTATCGGTAGTCTCACTCCTGCAGCACACTTTTGAGTCCTTTCATCACAAATGATGATTATTCATTAAAATGTCCTTTCAGCCAACTTGGACTGGATACTCGGGCTTTATGAGGAAAGAAGAACATACACATCAAGCACCGTGTTCTGTATGCAGGTGTTCTTTGCATGATATTGCCTCATTCATTTGCTCGCGCCCTCATTAGACAGAGTATCTTCATGTCATTGCATTTGCATTACAAATGCGATGTTGCTGCTGTCTGTCTTTTCTTTAGCCCGTGTGTGGTCTTTAATGTTGTAGCCGTTCGCATCAGATGATTCCCCATAGGTTTGCTCGCTGCATTACAATTTTAAAGCTCTTCATACTTGACAGTCAGGAGTTTCTAAACTTCCACAAAGTAAAATTTGTCACTTCAAAAAATATCTAAATATCCTCTGTTCTTCTCTGCTGTTGTGGTGAGCCGAGGAGATTACAGTTAGCTGCTTTAACATTGTGTCGCAAATCCACTTCTCTATATGAAGTTGACGCTGTATGTTTTTCATACAGATGGTACTGAGTGCTTCCTGTGCTGTAAACGTGAGCTGCAAGCTCTTGAAGTAGTATGTGAGAGTTCCTTAAAAAAGCATCTCGTGTGAAAGTAGAGTGCTGAGGTCAAACTCCACAGGGGGAGACGGTTGAGTGGTTTGTTTTTTATTTATTTCTTTATTCTGACGCGTGTTTCTTGGTGCTCCTGATGTCAAAGTGTGGGCCAGTGAGCTTAGGTGCACTTCCTGTGAACACAGCTCATCCAGCCATGTCGCTATGTGTGGGTGTCAGGCTGCTAAATGTAGCGTGGAGGCTGCAGTATCAGGGCCAGCAGCCTCCCAGTGGAGTCAGGCTTTTGACTCTGCACGGGCTGCCAAACAGCCCCACAGCTATCGCCCGTCCCTCTCATGCAAGTCTTCCTTCATTCATTTTTATTATTCTTTTATTTTATTTTCATGTTATGGTTTTGTGTGATTCTGGTTTCATGAAAGATGAAAAAAAGGAATGTGGATCTTTCTTGTTTTTCAGGTGTCGTACATTTATTCATTAGCTGTGTTTGAGGACTACCTCTATGCTATCCACTCTGACCCTTCCAAAGGGAGTTCCTCTGCAGAGCTGCTGCAGATCCACAGGTTCAACATCACAGCAGACAGCAGGACGCTCGCCAGCCTGGGGAATTCTAAAGGACTGCGGGTTTATCATAAACTCACTCAGCCCAAAGGTAAAGGACAGTTTCTACATGCGTGAATATTTGCAAGTATCTTTCAAGTTATTTTCTGTCATATATTTGAGTAAAATATAAGCAAAAGTACTGACATTTCTCTTTCTCATTTCGTTCACAGTCAGAAGTCATGCGTGTGAAATGGATTCATACGGAAAGCCGGGCGGCTGTTCACACATCTGCCTTCTGAGCGGCAGCTACAAGTCCAGGACCTGCCGCTGCCGTATGGGCTACAGCCTGGGCTTCGATGGAATGTCCTGTAAAAGTTAGTATAAGATCTGCTGTGGAGTCAAACTGTGTTTTATGAAGATGTTAATATTTTTGCAATCTCCCAGCCCCCAGTGTTTGTTATAAGATTAGACTTAAACCACTCTGTGGGATACTTGAGTTTGGAAACTGCAGTGGGAGAAGTTTGATTTTGTTTGACGTGTCACTCAGAATTCAGTCTTTAGATTCTCAGAAAATACAGCAGCTGGCACATTTTCTCACAAGCTGGACATCACTTCCTCTTAGAGAGAATGAACCGACACAGAATGTCAGAAATAGTTTCTCTATGTTATTTCAAAAAACAGTATCATTGTGGGGGCGGCGGTGGCGTCTCCTCATCTGAAGGTTGGTGGATCGATCCCTGGCTCTTCCAGTCCACATGTTGAATTTTAGAACGCCTGGGTGAGGTGCTTAGCACTATTGCCTCATAACAAACAGCTGCTGGGGATCTGTGCGGAGGCTCTGTCCTGGTGCTCCAGGTTATCCGTGTTACCTCTGAGCTAACAGCCTACCTTTTAATCTGTGCCAGCTGGGATAGGCTCCGCCCCAACCCAGCCAGCACCCCAAATTCAATAAGTGGAAGAAGACAGATGGAATATTATTAGAATACTTGAAATACTTACTGTGAGCCGATTGGAGTCAAAGTTAAAGAGCACAGATCTAAAAGGTTTTCTCTGGCAGTTTTTCTAATTTAAAAGGATCTGAACTAATGTCAGCCAAGGATCTTCTGCTCATGTACCATATTAGAGCCAAGCATATGCCACGCATGCACGGCCTTCGACCGACAGCGATGACGATCACAGCGAATGGTGACTACACCCATTTGAGAGTAATGTTCTGCTATCGACCTGTCGCGAGTCTGACTGACTGTTGCAATAATGAGGTTTTAAGTTTGTCTGCATTTGTCGGCCAGTCTGATCAATCGCTGGACATTGTGTAGTTGACAATAAAAGCAGGGGATCAAATTGATGACACAATTTTAGGGCCCGCCACATTTCGATCGAGGTAACGAAGCATCGGGAGGCAAAGCGTGACACGTTTGATTTATGCCCCCCTCATAGATGTTCTGATGACACTATCTCTTTTTGCTCGTGCTTTCCATCTCCCTAAGCATAATGAGATTTAGTGTTAAATGGTAGTCCTTGTTCAAAGAGCAGTCACAGTGGGGTTTGATATCTGGGTCTCTTGCAATGCTTAATTGTCTCCTGGGTAGTTGGTATCTCCCCCACGAAATGATAAATTGGAGAGAGGCATGTGTGGTCCTCACCCTCAGCATCCTAGTCTCCTGGGTAGGCGCTAAGAGTGAGGAGAGGTTGCTTCTTTCAATGGAAGCCCTCCTTCATTCCTCCCTTTGCGTCTCCAGAGGATCCCAAAGGGTTCGAGAACATAAAGTCCCCTGAGCGGCAGGCGAGGAGCTGCCTCAGCTTTCCGGGCCTTTCCGTTTGCCTTTCTGCTCAGGCGTGGGTTTTTTTTAGTTCAGAAACAGTGCAGGGTAAGTATTTCAATTGTCTGTTTGCTCAAGCATTTTTCTTCTCTTACGCTAAAGGCAGCTTTGTAGCAGGGCTGTGATTGAGGGGGGAGAGTATAGTCATTGGCACTGATTACTGGCTCCATTAGGGTAAATGAATAGCCCAGGCTCTGGCAAACATATGAGAACAATGTGGCCAGTAAGAGGGTTTAATGCTAGGATCAGCACTGATGAATTACACCAATTAATTGACAATAACAGTAAAAAAGGGCGCTGTCCTTTCTTGCTTTGTAGAGCCCAAAAACGATATCTTCCTGTTCTACGGTAAGGGGCGTCCGGGAGTCATCCGAGGCCTGGACATGAACATCAAGTCCAGTGACGAGCACATGGTGCCGATCGAAGACCTGGTCAACCCTCGAGCCATCGACTACCACGCAGAGCTGGGACACGTCTACTTTGCTGACACCACCAGTTTCCTGATTGGGCGGCAAAAAATAGATGGAAGCAGCAGAGAGACTATACTGAAAGATGGTGCGTCCGAGTGCAGTCATGTTACATTTAACACACTCCAACAGCCTAAAATGTACATTTGTTACACTTTGTATAACACTAACCCCAAAGTTCTTTAATAATGTAACAACATTTATAAAATATTTGATGTCTTTTATAAATCCTGCTGAGTTGTGTGTATAGATAATGATGTGGCATATATTTGATAGTTCTGTTGAATTCTTTTGTTGTAGAACTTGACAACGTTGAAGGAATCTCAGTGGATTGGATTGGGAATAACTTGTATTGGACCAACGATGGGTACAGGAAGACGATCAGTGTTGCCAGGCTGGACAGAGCTTCCCAGACCAGGAAGACTTTGCTGGAAGGCAATATGTCTCACCCCCGGGCCATTGTGGTGGATCCTCTGAACAGGTCAGAAAAATAATATTACACGAGCAAAATTCAGTGGCAAAAATAGTTTGTTGGTCCTGTGCAGGTGCAGGTATGGCTAAGCATCAGTTAGATGCAGACAGGCTACAATGCTGGAAAACATTACCAAAACAGCACGTGCGTGGTGTGTGCTCCATTTTTTACGCCCTGACAGAAAGTGAGGAAAGCAATTATCTTGCCACTCACATCACTAAATGGACTTTAAACAACTTCAGAGGTAAAAATGTTACGCTTTTTATTGCCTCGCTAGTGTGTTGTACAGAATTTAAATTGCCATCAGATTTTAGACCTGGTTGGTAAAATTCAAATAATGAATGAATGTACGCGCCCTGTTTTATTTGTTGTATGTCAGTGAAGGTTCTCAGTCATCCAGGTCATCGTAGTCTAAGGAGCTTGCAAAGAAAAGCGTCTGGACTTCTTTAAGTTGCTTGAAGACGTTTCATCTCTCATCCGAGAAGCTTCTTCAGTTCTACGGTCAAATGGTGCAGAGTCCCAGATTTAAGTCCTAGGGGAGTGTCCCCCCCCCAAGGGGGTCACGAACCCCTTGTTGATCCTCTACCTAATCACATGAGCCAAGGTGTGAAAATCAGCCAAGGTTTCAGGAGAACCCACTGTGAAACCTGGCCCCACCCTATCATGTGATTTCCTGAGGTCAGGTGGTGTCTGGGAAGGTTCTCAGAACTAGATTATAGATGGCAGATAGTTGATGTAATAAGCCCCGCCCCTCTGTTCAAAGATGGCCATTCTCAGTGGACATAGATGCTTCTTTCGCTTCTCTTTCAAACCATCTGTCTTCTATGTCCTAAATGTGAATATTGGTGTCCTCAAATTTGTTGTTGTTTGTTTTTGATTAATTAAATCGTTTTGAAGAATTGGCAGGATACTGTGGAGAGTTTCGCCTTTGCCCAAAGTAATATTTCATGTAGGCCCCTAAATTGTGGGAAAACAATACTTCAGTGAGAAAAATGTTGGGATTGTTATCAAGGTGTTTGTAAGAGGCTGAGGGACATTAAGTAATGTGCAATAACCTGATTTAAATGACATCTACGTTCCTTGTGAGGCTCGTCCGATGGATATTTGAGTCTGATGCTGACACGGTTTTTTCAACGTTCAGTATCAGTATACTTGTTTTATTTCTACGTTACTGTATATACTGTATGTTTGAACTGTATGAAAAGGAAAACCAAGCATTTTACAAGCTCATTAGCAGCTTACTGTGTAGGCACCACTGTGTGCATAGCTGCAATGCTACAGTGTATGTGCTGCAGAAACTGGTGACATTATATAAACCAATAAAGCAGAGAGATATAGCTGCTCTTATTAAACCATCTCTAATTTCTTTTGCTCATGTTTTTACATCAGCCCATATATGGCAGCACATATGCTGACACATGGCACGATGTGAGATGCTACTTTCTCGCACTAGCATGAATTCCCAAAGTTTCTTAAACTATTACTTTGCAGAAAGTGTTGGAAGTAGTTTGCTTTAGCAGACATCTCCTGTGATTGATGATAACATGTGAATAATTTTCATCAGCACGATTAAACTGACAGAACATCTGTTTTTCTGAAAGCCCCTTCTGCAGCCTTTAACTCATCTCGTTCCAAGAACGACACCAAGCAGCTCATTAGCCACAATTAAACCATTTAATAGCTAATTCTGTGGAGTTCTCAGGGACAATCTTATAAGCATTTCTGTGCACATTCCTATAAGTTGAACTTTGCTGGCTGATTGGTAATTATCATATAGAGTTGATGCTGCAAAACCCAAATTCATTGAGTGTCTTAAGGTTCTTAGGGATTAATACTTTAAGGCTTAAATCGTATTAACACTCCCCAAATCCATTGCAGTCAGAGATTAGTTTCCAAGCCTCAAGGGACTGTTCCAAACATTTTGCCATACACAGCTGTTTCGCTGCTATAGGGACACGCACCAAAGCAAAAACAAAACTTACTCATTCCTAGTTTAGTTTTATTTCCCCCCTTTGTTGAAAACAGTTACCAGTAAACAGTTTGCCTTTATTTCTAGCTCTCTGTCTTATTCTCAATTCCAACAATGAAGCTGAATCCAGCGTTACTATACGAGTCACTGACGTTTATCTGAGGGATTAAAAAAGAATCATGTTTGCGTTACGTGTAAAGAACAAAACGTTAAACAGCTGATATGAGAACATAGCCTTAAACTTGAAGGCTAATCAGGATAGCGCTGAGAGTTTCAGCACTGACAGATGTGCCGCAGCAGCAGAGTTGGGGGTGGCACATTTTTTGTATAAGGATTAATAACTTTTACTCCAACCCTCCCACTGACAGCACAAATGATTAGAAGAGCTAGTTTTGTGCTTCTGAGGAAGCGTTCAGCCTGAAGCCGACAGCCCTTTGATCTCTATCTGCTCTGCTGGAAGAGTCTCTTAAGGTGAAATAGAAGCAATTCTCCAACACATCTCCTGATCTTTTGCATCCTCGATGCCTTATTTTTCCTCAGTTTGCTGCTTCGAGTCTGTTTTGACACGATTAACACTAATAGTGTCATACCTAGAAACTGAATACATTTATTCATGAAGCACACACATGGCAAAAAATATGTTACTAATCACACTTGGTCAGCTTCCTTACTGACTGCATGAGTGTGCAAACAGATGGACGACACATTTATGGACAAAACCATCATGAAGGTTTCTCGTGAGGATCCGGTCCACCTGGGCATTAACCGGAGCAGCAGTGCTAAAAAGAGATTCCCTACTTTGCTGTTTTCATGGTAGTGATGAAGGCTGGGCATTCAACTGGGCTGAGATCTAGAAACTGTGAAGGCCATGGCATATGAGTCACATCATTTTTATATTCATAAAGCTATCCAGTGACCCCTCATGCCAGAGGAGAGGAGCTGTCCTTATCATCTGAATTGAAAAGCCCCCCCCCCC